TAATCTTACAAGTAATAAACAGGATCAGTACATTCTATCAATAAAATTGAGAGAATATTTCCTCAGAGTCTGGGAATCAAGTGCCATGAATCTATTCAATCAAATGTACAGAATGTACAAAAATACTATATGAGAAAGAACTCACACAGTATAGTTGTGTAAGTTCCACAGTATGTTAGGCATACTTACATTCCACGCTGTATCAAATCAAGGGCGCATTCTTTGTGCATCACATGCGAACAAGGTAAGATTTGACAACCGCTGAATGCATCCTACAGAAAACAAGGATAACAAGATAACATAATTATGAGTGCTGCGAGTGAGAAACTTGGGTTACATCTAAGGTTTATGGGGAAAGTGAACACAGAATCTATCTATAGCAGTAAAACCCAAATTGTCCATGACTTGAAAATGACCCAAAAAAGTGTGTTGACAAGAGCTGAGTTGAGTAAGGTAACTAAGTGCGAGCTCCATATGCCAGACAAAAAGTGCAAACTCAGTATGCTGGTAAAGCACGAGACCTTTTGTCTGGAAGGAAAGCATGATCGCGACAAATATCTTCAATATTAAAATTCCATCTCACCTCGAAGCAGATACAGCATTCATCGTGCCCAGAATCTGGTCTGCACTTATGTTTTCCTTCAAGACGTTTGTCCAGGCAGACATTACACACCTCACAGTGGAATGATTTATCCTTGTGGATTCTAATGAAGAAATAACTGATAAATTTACACTACAAAAATGAACAACCCCCTTGAACAAAAGGGAAATGGGACTATACTTTGGGATAAAACGTACTAAAGTTTAACACTGAGGGCAAAGTTATCCTTAAGTAGAATGACTCAATATTCAGCATTCTTAGAAATGAAATGAACAAATGTCACACACCAAATTGATAGCAGAACTTAAGTAAGTAGCAATGGAATTAGACTCAGGGATAAAAGGAACTGAAATTTATCAAGGACGAAGTGACCCTTTTGTAGCTCTGTTAAGTAGTGGCATCTTGCAAAGGAGATAACATCGAAATCCATAATTTACTGACATCAAGATACACTCCACATATAACCATATGTTAGCCCTTTATACAAGCCTAAATTACATCAACAACTACAAGTATTCCTGAGCATAAACAGGAATAAGGACATGCTGGAATAGCAAAGACAGTATGTCTTCACTTAACGTACAAATTTAAGACACTGAGGTTGACTCCTAGTGAGTAAGGAACCTATACAATTTATCGAGGAATAATTATTTTATGCATGGAAAATTTTTTTTTGGCACGATGGGGAAAAAATAGGGTTTATAAGCATGTTGATGGGAAATATCTTTTAGCAAATTAAAATAGATCATGTTCCTTACCGACATATCCCGCATTTTTCACAGTGGAAGGGGTTCATATCCATACTTGTCAAATGTTTACAGATTGAGCAGAAATAAACGCTAATCTGGGTTCCACAGCTGCGACAATTTCCACTGTCTTCACCAATCTGCAATGATGATAAGGCAGAAATAATTCACCATTAAGAAACAAACCACAGGCCTTGTCATTCATTAATAACTGAAGTATTCAGGCTGTGTTCACAAGTTTGTGTGCACACGTGTACATGGGAGTATAGTTCTCATCATGAGCATAAACAGCATCCCCAAAGAATATTTCATGTAGTGCCTTTTTTGCTTTGAAGCCCTTGCAGCTTTTAAACATACTACCAAACCAGTTTTCTATTGTTAACTCTGAATTACATTAATGTGTAGAACGGTCTCTGTAACAATTCAATGTATTCCATTTTGCATTTTGGAGAGTCAAACCACATCTAAAAGAATACAAAACTTGAAAAAACTCTTTGTGTCACTTGGCACAAGCCCTGTTCCAATGAAACAGCTTGCTCAATGAGCCCTGGTTTCGCCAGTCATTGCTGAATTAAACAATACTAATAAA